CGTCTCTCGTACTCTCGTATTCTCGTACTCTCGTACTCTCGTACTCTCGTACTCTCGTCGTCGATCTCGCGGAAATACGACGACGATGCGCTTTAGACGTGACGGTGCAAGCCTGATGGAGATATTCATGTAGTTGTTCGCAGACAACCTTGCGTTAGCTTCTCCGACGCATCACAAAGACGTATAGTTCAATTAATTTATATACTTATACGGCGAACGGTGGTAACAATGTTTTGCAGAAAATTATGGTGAACGAATTAATTTTCCACTTAGAATTCACACAATTTCATGCACTTTTTAAATTCACTCTGATATTTATTTTCACATTTAATAATATAGATATTATAGCCATTACGTGATACATTCAACTATGTTATATTATCATTCTTTCAATACTTTTACGTATTAATTGCAAGTAGCTCGTTGATAACTTTCTAAAAAAAATATTTGCATTTTAACGCGCTTCGTTGAAGATTATTACACACACACACGCACACACACCCACGCACACTCCGTGTGTGGTGAGTCTCGGCGAAAAATGAATCGCGGCGAGGCGCAGGTGAACGCAACGTTCGTGTGTTCGGTGCCGGAGTAATGAATAATAACCTGTTATTATTACCAGGTCGAGCAATAAACACGCAGCTCGCAAACGTGCGTCCCTCTCACGCCGCAATATAAGGCTCGTCACGCATAGACACGACATTTGTTTCCCGCGCGTGGAGTGTGTGCAGGCTATTACGAATGCCGCCTTCCTACCAACAGATATTGGTTCCATTGTTGTACGTTGTGTATCGTGACTGCTTCTCCGCCGCTTCCGCCAGTCGCGACCACTTCGGCCCCGTTGATATTCCACCTCGTGTCCCTTCGCTTTTAATTTCTCTTTTGACAGAAAAGCATCCCCCCCGCATCCTTCTCTGCCAAGCAATGAAGCTGATAACGGCGTATTGTATTGTCGAGATAGTTCACGACGATTCCATACATTCGAATACTCAAATTCGTTTCCTGCTTTATCTTCGGTATTCCCTTTTCATATAGTTGTTGCATGATACCTCCTTGTGTGTTATTTTATTCGACGAAAATTATTTGCGTGCATCGGAATCGATTTGGAGAGACTAATGTTTTCTATAGAATAGAGAATGATTTTATATCTTAACTC